ACAGCTTCTATTCTTTTGAGATGTGTTGAAAAATCCGAGCTATAAATGATTACGTCATCTAGATAACATAAGCAAATTTGCCATCTAAGATTACCAAGCATATTTTCCATGTTCCTCTCAAATGTAGCAGGGGCATTGCATAGACCAAAGGGCATTACGTTGAACTCATATAGGCCATGTCCTGTAGTGAAGGCTGTCTTTTCTTTATCTTTCTCCTCAACCTCTACTTGCCAATATCCTGATTTAAGGTCAATTGCTGAGAAGTATTTGGATCCTTGAAGTGTATCCAATACTTCATCAATTCTGGGAATTGGGTAAACATCCTTCACTGTTACATCATTCAATTTTCTGTAGTCAACGCAAAATCTGTACTTACCATCTCGCTTCTTGACCAAGATTACAGGGAAGGACCATGGACTCGAGGATGGTCTAATTATGCCGTCTCTGAGCATTTCATCAATTTGCTCTTTTATGATTTCTCGCTCTTTCGCGCTAACCCTATACGGCTTGTGTTTGATCGGTTTCGCGCCTTCTGTATCAATCCGATGTTTCGCTAAGTTGGATTTTCCTAATCCCGACGAAAACAAATCCGCGTACTTTTCCAAAACTTGTTTCAATTGCTCCTTTTCCTTATATGATAAATTTTCGTTTATCTGAAATTGGGGTTCTTCATGCTCTTTTTGTTCACTTTCTTCTATAAGATTCACTTCGGCTGGCTGGCTTCCAAAGCACAATGTTTGGTTTTTTAATATTTTTAATGGTCGAGGGTAAGGGTTTGTTATCCAGATATATGTTTCCTTATTCACAGCATTTATTAAGCTTCTCGCTAGTCGAAGTCCATTTGTTTGAAACATTTTATGGTTCTCCTCGACGATGTATTCGCCATCCTCTGCTTCTACAAATGCCTTAATCAATTTAATAGAAAGTTCTGGTATAATGGCATCCTTTGCACTTTTTATTTTCTTCTGTTGATATTTGATTACGTCACGATTTTCTGTCAAGTCATATTTGATTATTTCACGCTGACAATCAATTTTTGCGTTCATTTTCTTAAGAAAATCTCGTCCAAGTATAAATATTCGCAAATGTGTTCTCATTATCACAAATTGATGTGTAATTGTTTTGTCATCAAATTTTATATTTAAAATAATATTTCCTATGATATCTAATTCTTTGCTATCGGGTCCGGAGCACATTTTATCAGGATTTATTATTTCAAGACCTGTGTTAAGAGCTGTACTAAGGTCGACCACTGAAAGATCGGCGCCTGTATCAATCAAAGCTTCGCAGATACCGATTCTATCCACGTTAATGTTCATTTTATATTTGGGGTCCAACTTTTTAATTCCATTTATGGTCGACTTACTTTGATTGACGGACTCAGGCGCGATGCTTAGTTTAAATCTTCTAATGCGGCATATCTATTCCTTGTAGGGATACCAGAGTACGTGCTATTACTTACGTCAGCGTAGAGCAGAGGTCTCGACTTCTCAGTTCCATTATCCATTCGGATTTCTTCTTCGACCTTGTCTTGTGTAACTATGGGGTCCTCTTCCACAATTCTTACAAACCTGACTCTGCAATACCGCGCTACGTGTCCTGGCTTGTTACACTTGAAACATATTGGTCTCTCGTCTTCTGTCCTATTCCTGTTTGAATTTGGACTCTTATTGTATGTTTTACTTGGGTAAACCGGTTTTGGCTCAGGATTGGGAGTGTAAGATCGTCTAGGGGCAGATACCTGGGACAGAGGTTTGTTCTGGTAGTACCTCGGAGTGGGGGCCTGGGGCTTGGAGGTGTTCTGGTAGTACCTCGGAGCGGGGGTCTGGGGCTTGGAGGTGTCCTGGTATGGTCTTTTGAACGACGGAGCGTTCTTCCATTGCTCTTGATGATGGGGACGAGGAGAGCGTGGTCCATTATAAAGAGCTTTTGATTTTTCCACACGTTCTTGGTAATTCTTTTCGAACAAATCCAGCTTTTTACAAATTTCAAGAAGTTCATTGGTATTTTTAGGAGGGTTTAGGTGAAGGGCAAAAGAGTATTCTTTCTTTAACCCTCCAATAACCCAGTTTATTTTAGTCTCTTCTTCCATTTGGGGGTCGACCTTGTTGCACAGTACAAGGATATCTTCTGCGAACCTGATTGAAGGTTCATTCCACTGTTGCATCCTGTTTAATCTCATCCTCATTTCTTCTTTGTTGGCGTCTGAGGCAAAATCCTCAATTAGGCGGCTCTTGAAATTTTCCCAGCTGGTGAAACTTATCTTGTGTAGGTTCAGCCAGGTTTTGGCGCTACCAATCATATTCATGGCAGCATAACGGGAGATAATGTAGTCTGCCCAATGGTACAGGAAGCCAATTTCTTCAAGAGATTCAATCCATGGGCGAGGGTCTTCTGTTCCATCATACTTGGGGATGTCGATGTTGGGATTCAGGACAACTGGGTCGGAACTAGCATCTCTACCAATTGTTGCACCAGGTTGCGGCTTGGCAGACTCTTCAGCCTTGATTCTCTCCTGTGCTGGGTCTTGCATCTTACCAGAGCGTGTTTCAACCATCCTACAATTTTGTATAAGGGAATAATGAGATAACTCTACTTTAAGTAGCCTCCAGAATAATATTTATTTATTTCTCACATCAAAGAGAGCAGTGAAGTCACACGTGTACCTAAATACAAATGATGATTCTATAATACATATATTCTGTTTATAATACATATATTCTGTTTACTAAAATAAATAAATATAATATATAAATTTGAATTTAAAATATATGAAAAATAATATTACAAATTAAAATAAAATAGGTTCATTAGCCATGATGCAACAATATATATCAAATTTTGCCGGGAGGATATTGATCTAAAGAGACAAATATCGCCTCTCCCTTTAAAATAGACGTTAAAACTAGACACCATCTATAGATGGCTTCTAGTTTTGACGTCTATTTTGACGGGAGAGGCGATCTTTGTCTTTATATATATATATATATATATATGAAAAAACAATAGAAAAAAATAAAAGATAAGTGGGTCAGGTGTTGATATTAAAAATAAAGAAGGCATCTCCTGACCACAAGCACATGAGCTTTTTAGATGGCAGAGCGCCATCTAGTGGAGTAAAAATAAACTAAACGTTTATTTAGCTTACTCCGAGACATTTGGCCAACCCAATTTCTTGATAAATCTTTTTGGTCGCAATGGATACAGCCTTCTCCACGCTGACGAGCGCCAACAGCGCGAAACGCGTTCGTGGATGGCTTTTCTTGATTTATCAAGAAATTGGGTTGGCCAAATGTCTCGGAGTAAGCTAAATAAACGTTTAGTTTATTTTTACTCCACTAGATGGCGCTCTGCCATCTAAAAAGCACATGTGCTTGTGGTCAGGAGATGCCTTCTTTATTTTTAATATATATATATATATATATATCGAATCCTGTCGACTCTATGTCGAATCCTGTCGACTACAACAGACCAGACTACCGAAATCCCACAGTAAAGAAGAAGTCGACAGGATTCGACATATATATATACCAGGTCTATTAGTATGAAACGCGAAAATTTTCAGTGAATTCAAAAGTTCACCAATTCCATACAACAAAAGATTTTTTATTCAAAGTAACTGCCCTGATTAGCTATACACTCGGACCACTTTTCAGGCAATTTTCGAATTCCTTGTCTGAAAATTTCTATTCCTTTTGAGTCGAACCAGTCAACAAGTCATTTTCGGAGTATGTCTGAGTTCGAAAATTCCTGTTTTTTTAGGGCGTGTCCTAAAGATGTGAAAAGGTGGTAGTTCGACGGCGCTAAGTCTGGTGAGTACGGCGGGTGGGGATAGAGTTCCCAGCCCAAGTTTTTTATGGTGTTTTTGACCACCGTAGCGTTGTGGGCTGGAGCGTTGTCATGCTGCAGTATCAGGTTGTTGTGCTTTTCACGCCATTCTGGTCTTTTTTCATTCAACGCCTCTCTCAAACTGTGCATTTGTTGTTCGTAGCGACTCGTAGTGCCAGGTTTCAGGAGCTCGAAATATACTACGCCGGTCTGGTCCCACCATATGCAAAGCATTGCCTTTTTTCCGAAGCGATTGGGCCTAGGCGTCTGTTTTGGAAATTGGCCGGGCAGGCCCCACGACTTTTGGCGCGTAGGATTGCTGAAGTGGATCCATTTCTCATCAGAAGTTACGATTCGGTGCAAAAATGACTTCTTTTCATGCCTGGCGAGCAGCCCTTCGCAGGTTACCAGACGCCGTTATTGCTGCCTTTCGCTCAACTCGTGGGGGACCCATCTGGAAAGCTTTTGGGTCATTCCGAGGCTATTTAAACGTAAAGAAACAGCACCTTGAGACACCTGGAGCTGTTTTGCGTGTTTCTCCTGCATTTGGGTACTGTCCTCATCCAAAAAAGCTTGCAGTTCAGCGTCCTCAAACTTTTGGGGCGGTTTTCCATGTAGTTCATTATCAAGTTCAAAATCGCCACTTTGGAATTTTTTAAACCACCTGTAACACTGCGATTTGCTCAAAGCGTGGTCGCTCTAAACTTCCTCGAGCATTCGGTGGGCTTCAGTGGCACTTTTCTTCCAGTTGAAGGCGAACAACAAAACTTCCCGCAAATGGGCACTTTTTGGCTCGGAAATCGCCATTTTCCACGGGCTCCAGAAAATTTTCACGATTTGAATTTTTCTAAAACTGCACACTTGCTGATGCCACGTGAGTCAAAGAACAAAACGCCTACAACTGCGCCACCGTCGGCTCAAATAAAGTTGCACAGCGGCCTCTGGCGCCCATTTTCGCGTTTCATACTAATAGACCTGGTATATATATATATGTCGAATCCTGTCGACTCTATGTTGAATCCTGTCGACTTTCTTCTTTACTGTGGGATTTCGGTAGTCTGGTCTGTTGTATTGAGTCGTGGGGAAAGATGATGATTGCGCAGTCGTGATGGTGGTGAGTGGTAAAGCACACAGAGACGAATCACAGGGGAACCGAGGCATCAGAGAGAGGGAACGGAGAGACCAAGTAGCGGCCGGCGGACCATACTTAACTAACGAGCTGTCTGCTACTGCTGTCCGCTATCTGGCATCTAATGAACTAACTGACTTGACTTGACAATGGTTACAGCTAATTGACCAAATGGGATGGCCTTCTAGCTCTACTAATGGCTGTAATGAATCAGACTGACCACGGCAAACCAGCGTGCGGCGTCCGATTTCAACCACTGCCCTCTAACCCTTGGGTGGTTAGAGACGGCGCTAGGTGAAATCTCGTCCACAAGCCAGCTGGCAAAGTACAAGTTTGACATTGCAAAGTCCCCCGCGACAATAACCAGGGAACCACCAAGCCCGCCACCCGACGCAACGCACGCAGAGGCGGCGCAAGACGCATCTCCAACCCCATCCGCGAAGAGAAACGAGGGGCCCCCAAGGTGCCCCTGGAGAGTGTGAAGCGTGCTGATGCTGTAAGAACAAAGGTGAGTATCCCTGGGTCAGAGGGAAAGAGAGGAAGAGGTTTCAAGTAAAGAAAGGTAGGCAATTGTGAAAAGGTTGATTTAAAATTAAAAATAAAAAATAAAAAGAAAAGAGAGAGAATTACTAGTAATAATAGAATAAAGAAAAATTAAAAATAGCAAAAATTGGATAAATAAATAAGGAGATAGGTGAGAATAGTAGAAATATTAAAGTTATAGTATTATTAATAATAAAATTAAGTAAGATTAGAAATAGAAAGAATAAAGATATTTTAATAATTATAGTGAGAATAAAATAAATAATTAAAGAAGGAAAAAGATTTAGAAGAGCACAGGATAGAAGAAATCGATAAATATAGAAGAGCACACAGCGCCTGGGGAGGTTGGTGTAGAACGCAAAAAAAAAAAGGACCTTATCAAAGGAGCCAGACATTTTTTTTTTTTTCTGAGGAGAAAGTAATTCCAGAGTACAAAAACTGGAGGTACTAAACCGCACCTTTTGCCAACCAATGAAAATGAGCGGCCGCCAGACCATAAAACCCCCGGTTGTGACGTCGCGCGATTAATCGACCAATCAGCGAGCGGCGTACAATTTCAACCGCTGCCCTCTAAACCTTGGGTGAATAGAGACGGCGCTTGGTGAAATCCCGACCACAAGCCAGCTGGCAAATTAAAAGTTTGACACCGCATACATAATTAGTGATACACGCATATGCAGGTAAAACACTGATGTAAAGTTTAGGTGGAATTAGAGTCGGGAATCTCCTCTGATTCCACCTCTCGGATCCGCGGTCTCAGCCTGTCGCAAGCCAGGAGAAAATCGATACAGGCTCGCCAGGTTAAACAACTGTGAGTGAAGTCGCGGAGCGCCCTCGGTGTGTAACCGAGTTCCCTCCCCGCTATAAAAAATAGACGAGTTCTGAGGGAGTCCAGACTGTCACACTCGAGCATGATATGATCCAGAGTTTCCTCCGCTCCAGAGTCACAAAAAGGGCAGATAGGATCATCAATGAATCCATATCTGTGAGCAAAGCTGTCTGTCCATGTGTGACCAGTCAGCAGGCCAATCACGGCGTGGACACTGGGGACGATGTACGCATGTTTTTTGTCCAAGAGACTCATTGGAGAAAGGCCAAAGCGGGTGAAGATTCTGCGCTCGGCGGAGATGAATCTGTCCTGCCAAGCCGCCCACGCCCGCTTGTAGATTATCGATTTAAGTTTCGACAGCGGTGCGAGGCGATAGCAGCTCGGGAGATCAGATTCCGCCCCGCGTTTCGCGAGTACATCAGCTACCTCATTACCAAAAATCCCGCTGTGGCCCTTGATCCATTGTATGGTACATCTGTTCCCATTGCGGTTCAGTTGTGAAATCAGCAACAGGGCTCTGTTTACTAGGAGGTTGCCAGTTCTGGTGTTTAGAACGGATTTCACAACTGAGAGGTTATCCAGGAGAATTTCAATGGTGTAATTGTCGGGAAGCTTTGAGGCGTCCTCAAGTGCTTTAATCAAGCCAAGTGCCTCCGCTTGGAAGACAGAACAGTACGGGGACAGGACAAAACTCTCACGCAATTCATTCATTGAGCCATTCGCACACACTCTATATAGGCCTGTGCCAACTCCAGTTTTAGTCTTGGAACCATCTGTGTAGGAGGTGACGTCAGCCGAAAGATCAGGAATATTAATGGGAGCGGAGTAATAGGGAGGATAGGGAAGTGGGTGAGGGCAGGGAGGAGGTTCGACTGGAAAATCGGCGTCAACAAAACTGTGCTTTTTAAAGTACAATTCCGCTTTGGCGCCGACATCCAGATCGAGAGGGAGAACACGGGAAATAGAGATGAGAGAGCAAGAGTCAGTTGTTTTAAACGCGCGGCATGTCCTGATGAGGAACGGGCGCTGCGCGCTTAAGAGAGTATTTAAAGAGCGTTGTTTTAGATTAGGAAACCAAACAGGAGAGGCGTAGGAGATGGCTGGGACCACAACCTGTAGATAGAGCATCCTCAGGGCGCGGAAACCAAAGCCAAAATTGGAGTTGGCGGCTGCTGTCAAACGCGGGAGAAATCCGCGGACTCTGGTGCAAACCTCAATCACATGCTGGTGGAAGGAGAGGCGCCGAGGTGTGGCCTGCATAAATTGGAACTCAGCGTGAGGAAGTGTCAGGCCATGCTCCTTCTAAGACGTACTGGCAGGCTACTAAAACCTAGCTGCGATCTAACCATTAATGGTCAACCCATTCAATGGAGCGACTCAATCAAAGTGCTGGGAGTAAGATTTGAACTAACTGACTTGCGGGACAAGCCCTTTTTATATGCTCAAGTCTTACGTCACCGGACGTCTGACGCCATGGCGTCGACAGGGCGCTTGACCTTATTTGGCTGCGGTTAAGCTCTGTTACGTCATTTTATTGGCGCCGCGTTGACGGGGCGGTTGACCTCATTGTCTGCGGGATAAGCCCTCCTGGTTTCTACGTTCCCTCTAGATGTACCTCTTTATTTAATTGAACACTCAAAAATGATACATACAAAGTTAAATTGATTAAAGGAGGATTGTGGGTACACTGATTAACAGTCCATATTAGAGTAGGGGGTGTAAGAAGAGGTGGTGAGTATTTACACAGGTGTTTATAATTCTTAAATTACCACATATATATGTCGTAAACCCGGGTAAGCCAACAAGTGAGTTGGAAGCAGTCGGGGTTGAGTGGCAAGGCGTGCAGAGTGGGAAGTCCGCACGGGACAGTAAGGACAAAGTTTGGGATCAAAAGACGCTCTCCTAGTACGTCTCACGTGACACCAGGACCAGGGGAAAGTTGAGGATTAACTGAGGAAAGCTCGGTGTCCTGCATGAAGCCGCGGGGGCAGAGAGGAGCCAAAACGGCGGCCACGAGGGCCGTCGTGAGACCTAGCACTGTCCGAAAATATCCACTGTAACCTAACTAACTGTCAACATCCGGACCAACGCCCCATCTTTGTCCCTCTCTGGATCCCCCGGGTGTCCGGTAGCAAGCTGGTGTCACTTTGAGACGACTAGAAAAGTTGTCATACTTTATTACTTACACATCACATTGTTTAAATTACGATAGAATGTGCCCCTGGTGAGAAAGGTTTGATTAGGGGAGTGAAATAAAATGGAGCGAAAAGCTAGCAAACCTATTAAATGGGAAATAATTTGGGGCACAAAAAAATTAGTTACTAGAACAAAAATAAAGAGGAGAGAGTAGTGGTTATACACTGATATAATATTATAAAAATACAAAATATATAAGGAGTAGATAGGAAGGATAAATTTAAAGTAAATACACACAATAGCGAGGGTAAATATTTGGGAAAGTTAGGTATACTATTTACAGTTTTTTGTTACTTAAGGAGCCATGAGTATTTACAACATAGTTTCAGGGATGTAATACAGGAACGAAGAGAAGTAGAGATAATAAAAGTAACATAAAATATAAAAGAAAATTGACTTAAGCAAAAGGTTTGGGATAGGCAGTGACGCAGTGAAGAATAAAGGAAGAGGGTCTGAATTTGTTTCTGCAAAGGACAACTCAGGAGTTGCAATACGAGCTTAGAAGCGAAGTATTGTTTGCAGGGATCAGATATCTCAAGATGCCCTGTAAGTAGCATTAGATCAGATGGGCAAAAGGCGTGAAGTTCGAAGGAGAGGTAGGTAATGGGAGAATATGGGAAAGAAAAGCTTGCTGAGAGAGGTTAAAAAGAGATGGAGGCTCAAGAGCTACGCTTCTGTCGGTGATTGAGCTCGACCAGATGAAAAAATAAAGTAAAAGAAAAATGAGTGGGCGCATCATGCTGATGATGGCGATGGGTCGAGCGTGAGAAAAAAAAAATCTCGCTGGTTACCCAAGCTCTCCATGTGGAGTTAACATGTGGAGGAAGAGTGTACCAGGTCAATGAATCATAAAAAAAATTGTTGACGAGCAGGAGTCTCAGGAACCGTTGAAGAGGTTAAAGTATGGAGGTAGATCGTGAAAACAGGGTTCGACTGTTGCCATTGATTGATTGAACCCGGGTTTGAGGAAAAAAGAATGAAATGAAGAATGCTAGGACGGTGACCCGGGTGTAAATAAAAAATAAATAAAAATAAGCCATGGATTTTCCTGAACACACCATCAGGATGGTATGGCGAGGAAGGAATAGTCCACTGGGGCAAATCAATAACAAAAAAAAAAGTCGGCGAACAGGAACTCTGCGATGGACGCGGGGTGGTTAGAACGAAGGTATAGAAGGCCTATGGAAAAAGATCAAGAAACGAGAGAAGTATGGAAGGCAGAGTTGGAAGGATCAAGATATGAGAAGGGACAGTTGGTAGAAAGGCGTCACTGTTAAAACAAATTTTTCAAGTTAAATTATCTTATACGTAGGATATGGAAAATTAAAACAAATGGTGTCAAAGAATATAAAGTTTCAGATGATGTTTATATAGATTTTAGCTGTTTAGGGATGGAAGGAAAAGAAGTATCATAATGTAAAAGAAATATCCAAAATATATGGATCGATTCTACAATATAAAATGGCACACACATCAAGGATCGTAAAAATATAAATGAATAATATTTAAAAATATAGTAAGTATTTAGGTTAGTGTGTTCCCCACGTGATGCAATGCTTATAAACGCAAATTAGACGATGTTTGGAAAAGTCAAAAGTGGTAAATAAATTGAAATGCCATTATGGTTTGTTTTTTTATTTTTTCATACTTAGAATTTCAGAGACGTCTCACATGGTGAGAGAGAGAAAAAGGAAAACGAACTTATCAAAAGTAGTAAAATGTTACAAGTAAACTTATAATGGATATCTGAAGGTTTAAAATGACGCAGTGGTAAAAAGAGAGGAAGTCTGAGTTGATTCTTGCAATGGCGTTCGGCAATGCAATACGTTCCTGTGTAAATGAGGTATTGTTTTCATTGACCGAACTCCCAACACTTTCCATAATCAACATTAGATCAAACAGGGAAGGTCGGTAAGTTGAAAGTGGAGAAATGGGGAAAGGTGGAGTCAAGAGTTGCTCTGTTGCCAATGATCATTGAGCTCGGATGAAAATGGAAAAAAAAGTAATAAAATGGTAAAAATGATGGTTGTAATAATGATCCGAGTGTTGAGATAAAAAACTCGAACTGGTCGCCTGGGCTCACTGTTGGGAAATATACAGCGAGGAATGTTGAGCCAGCAAGTTGAATCAAAATTAAAAAAAATAAAAGTTTGGTTGGCGAGCAGGAGACTCTTGACTGCGGGAAATATGAAAGGTGAGGAAGGTAAAGGGTACTGTTGCCATAGATGATTGAACAACCCGACATTGTTGAATGTAATGAATGATGTTGTCGGGTGATGGATAAAAAAAAGAAGAAAGAATCTTTGGATTTCCTGAACTCGTTATCGGGAATTGTATACCGAGGAAGGATGGTCCAATAGATGAATTATTAAAAATAAAATAAAATGGGTGGCAACAGGAACCCTATGGTAGACTGTATGAGGTTGAAAGAAAATGGGTTAAGGAGGTATGAGCAAGTGATATAGGAAAATAGGATTGGGAGAGAGAGACAGAGAGAGGCGTCAATATGAAATAAAATAATAATCTAATAAAAACAATGATATCAGAAATAAGACGATCCCATGGTATTTAAAAAATATATAAATGCTATAAAAAACTCAAAACATGTTTAAAATTTCGAAGTTGTAAAGTTTTAAATCTATATATGATGACAGATGAAAAAATACTCAAATATTAATAATTAAAATGATTGCTGATGGTTGAATATTCTAAGATATAATGACTAATGATAATAGTAACACAAAATGTTTATAATAATGGTGGGGTTTGGATGGTTTATAATGGTTGAGTGGTTGAGGTATAGAAAAATAAAACAAAGACATATAGCATACAAATATAAAAAAAGGGTATAGCTTGATGGATGGCATTGACGATGATGTTTTGTTCTGGTAATAAGATTGGGAGGCCGAGTTGAGCACATTGAAGAGCGACAGGGGCTCACCTTTGAGAAGCTCGTGGAGCTCGAAGACCTGTACACGATGTCATTCCGCACGGCTTCCGCAAACGGTTTTCGCCGAATAAGTCCCGTCGTGAGGTGCCATAGGCGAGGCATAGGCACGTGACGCCGTCACTTCTTGGAGGGCCTCGGTGAGTCGGTTTACCAAGTTGGCCCAGCTGGGCCGGATGAAAGTGGCGGGCAACTTAGAAGCGTCCATGTAGCGTTCCCCGTCTTTGTCCATAGTCCTTTGTTCACTGTCCGCCATCAATATCCTGTCGACTGATCTACTGTCGTAAACCCAGGTAAGCCAAAAAGTGAATTGGAAGCAGTCGGGGTATAGTGGCAAGGCATACAGAGTGGGAAGTCCGCACGGGACAGTAAGGACAAAGTTTGGGATCAAAAGACGCTCTATCATTTTTTCTGTTGTTTTTTCATATATATATCACGGAGCAAGCTAAATAAACGTTTAGTTTATTTTTGCTCCACTAGATGGTGCTCTGCCATCTAAATAGCACATGTGCTCGTGGTGAGGAGATGCCTTCTTTATTTTTAATATATGTATATATAGTATCGTTATGAGAATTTCAAGATTTATAAAATATATAAATATATATGTAAAACCTATATATGTTTGTGATTGACAAAACATATGGTTGTCCAGATGGGCCAACAGCTTGCTGGGGCAAATTATCATGGAGGAATACAACCATTCCATTGACATTAAAGCTATAGAAGTTAAAGACAAAATTGACCGTCTTTTAAATTTCCTGAGTGAAATATGTAAATGCAAGGATGTCAAGCTTACATATCGAAACTTCAATGTCTTCGTAAACTTTCTTGAGGCATTCGGACTCCATTGGTTTTTTGGAAAGTGGGAAAATCTGGGCATCTTCATTCAACTCTTCATTGGGGAAGAAAACAGAAAAATCATTGGAGATATCCGCAACTTTTTCTTTCACCGCCTCGTCACAACAGACTCTGATATTGTGGATTGCGACGTTCTCAAACACTTCGTAATTACAGAATAAAAACGCAATACAGTGGACCCTCGGTTTACGAGCACCTTGGAGTACGAGCTTTTCGCAGTACGAGCAAAATTTTTTGAAATATTTTACCTCAGATTACGAGTGAAATTTCGCATTACGAGCAACTCGTGATGGTTTCCCGTAATCGTGATGGATGAAAATTCACTGGGATCCCTCCCTTCAGATCAGATTCGGGAAATATGTAAAATGTGGGAAACTGTGCAATTGTTCGTAGCAAGAAGAATTGCCCGAGTTTCAATTATTAAAAATAAGAAATTAGTTTCGCACTACGAGCGTTTTGGAGTACGAGCATGGCTCTGAAACGGATTATGCTCGCAAACCGAGGGTCCACTGTATATTCAATATCATGTCTAGATTGCCAATCTATTTATGTTGGCGAAACCAGCAAAGAAACAGAAATCAGAATAACAGAAAATGTCTACAATACCAAAACCAAAGATTCAATATCACTAATATACCAGAATGCCACAAATACAGGTCATATCTCTATATATATAAAAGTCAATTTCTGTCTGTCTGTTTCGCGATAAACTCAAAAACTACTGAACCAATTGGTACCAAATTTTGCATGTCGCTTTTTATAAACCTGAGGAAAATTTTTGGCTGTATTTTGATTAGTGTTTTTGACTATTTCTTTTTTTCATTTTAAGAAACTTTTTTTACGCGGACTAATCCGGAATGGAATGAATACCTAAATATGGTCATTTTTTTAAAGCATCGGTGGTTCAGTGGTAGAATGCTCGCCTGCCACGCGGGCGGCCCGGATTCGATTCCCGGCCGATGCATTTTTTTTACAATTTTTAAAACTCATCTATCAACATATATAGTCACGACCGTCATGGGTTCTGTCACGGATGCGCGCGCATCATTATGATCATTATCATTATCTAATGATAATAATAATAATAATAATTATTATTATTATATTATTATTATCTCTCCATCAACATATATAGTCACGACCGTCATGGCCCGTCCGGTTCTGTCACGGATGCGCGCGCATCATCATTATGATCATTATCATTATCTAATGATAATAATAATAATAATAATAATATAATTATTATTATTATTATTATATTATTATTATCAACATATATATAGTCACGACCGTCATGGGCCGGCCGGTTCTGTCACGGATGCGCGCGCATCATCATTATGATCATTATCATTATCTAATGATAATAATAATAATAATAATAATAATTATTATTATCAACATATATAGTCACGACCGTCTTTCCTCAATTCCTCATCGGCCGCTGTCACGGATGCGCGCGCATCATCATTATGATCATTATCATTATCTAATGATAATAATAATAATAATAATTATTATTATTATTATTAATATATATAGTCACGACCGTCTTTCCTCAATTCCTCATCGGCCGCTGTCACGGATGCGCGCGCACAGGGAGGTCACGTGCTCGCCGGCAGCCAACGGGCGCGCGCCGCCGGCATTACGTCATAGATTATAAACACAAGGTAATAAGGCCAAATAAAAAAATAGTGTGTGATAAGGCACAATTTCGATTATCTACTTATATAATTGCCTTATTCTCTCTGTGTGAAGTTCACTGTGTGAAGTTCACGGATAGATTTTGGTCAGAATGGATAAAATAAAAAAAGTGTCAAGGGATGGGAATCGAACCCACGACCTTCCGCTTACCGGGCAGATGCCATGACCACTAGGCTACCGTGGACATATTTTTCCGTTCACATTTTTATTTTTATATTTTCAAGACACACACAGTTTGGGGCGGGACGTTTCACAAGAGAGACATCCACGGCGCCAATTTATAATTGTAATGAATAGTATTTTAATTAAAACATTTTAAAGATATATACGCACTCTGGTAAAACCCGGGCGTTGCCCGGGCCATTCGTCTTCAACATATGTAGTCACGACCGTCATGGGCGGGCCGGTTCTGTCACGGATGCGCGCGCATCATCATTATGATCATTATCATTATCTAATGATAATAATAATAATAATATTAATAATAATAATAATAATTATTATTATATTATTATTATCCCTCAACATATATAGTCACGACCGTCATGGGCGGGCCGGTTCTGTCACGGATGGGCGCGCATCATCGTTATGATCATTATCATTATCTAATGATAATAATAATAATAATAATAATAATAAATATTATTATTATTATATTATTATTAATATCTCCATCAACATATATAGTCACGACCGTCTTTCCACCGTCATGTCACGGATGCGCGCGCATCATCATTATGATCATTATCATTATCTAATGATAATAATAATAATAATAATTATTATTATATTATTATTATTATCTCAACATATATAGTCACGACCGTCTTTCCACCGTCATGTCACGGATGTGCGCGCATCATCATTATGATCATTATCATTATCTAATGATATTAATAATAATAATTATTATTATTATTATCAACATATATAGTCACGACCGTCTTTCCTCAATCAATTCCTTATCGCTGTCACGGATGCGCGCGCATCATCATTGTGATCATTATCATTATCTAATGATAATAATAATAATAATTATTATTACATTATTATTATTAATATATATAGTCACGACCGTCTTTCCTCAATTCCTCATCGCTGTCACGGATGCGCGCGCACAGGGAGGTCACGTGCTCGCCGGCAGCCAACGGGCGCGCGCCGCCGGCATTACGTCATAGTTTATAAACACAAGGTAATAAGGCCAAATAAAAAAATAGTGTGTGATAAGGCACAATTTGGATTATCTACTTATATAATTGCCTTATTCTCTCTGTGTGAAGTTCACTGTGTGAAGTTCACGGATAGATTTTGGTCAGAATGAATAAAATAAAAAAAGTGTCAAGGGATGGGAATCGAACCCACGACCTTCCGCTTACCGGGCAGATGCCATGACCACTAGGCTACCCTGGACATATTTTTCCGTTCACATTTTTATTTTCATATTTTCAAGACACACACAGTTTGGGGCGGGACGTTTCATAAGAGAGACATCCACGGCGCCAATTTATAATTGTAACGAATAGTATTTTAATTAAAACATTTTTAAAATATATACGCACTCGGGTAAAACCCGGGTGTTGCCCGGGCCATTCGTCTAGTATATATATAGTCACGACCGTCATGGGCGGCCGGTTCTGTCACGGATGCACGCGCACAGGGAGGCCACGTGCTCGCCGGCAGCCAACGGGCGCGCGTCGCCGGCATTACGTCATAGATTATAAACACAAGGTAATAAGGCCAAATAAAAAATAGTGTGTGGCACAATTTGGATTATCTACTTATATAATTGCCTTATTCTCTCTGTGTGAAGTTCACGGATAGATTTTGGTCAGAATGGATAAAATAAAAAAAGTGTCAAGGGATGGGAATCAAACCCACGACCTTCCGCTTACCGGGCAGATGCCATGACCACTAGTCTACCCTGGACATATTTTTCCGTTCACATTTTTATTTTTATATTTTCAAGACACACACAGTTTGGGGCGGGACGTTTCACAAGAGAGACATCCACGGCGCCAATTTATAATTGTAACGAATAGTATTTTAATTAAAACATTTTAAAAATATATACGCACTCGGGTAAAACCCGGGCGTTGCCCGGGCCATTCGTCTAGTCAACATATATAGTCACGCCGTCCTTCCTCATGTCACGGATGCGCGCGCATCATCATTGTGATCATTATCATTATCTAATGATAATAATAATAATAATAATTATTATTATTTTATTATTATCAACATATATAGTCACGACCGTCATGGGCGGGCGGGCGGGCGGGCCGGCCGGCCGGCCGTTTCTGTCACGGATGCGCGCGCATCATCATTATGATCATTATCATTATCCAAATAATTTGGATTATAGATTAGAAAGTAATAAGACCAAATCTACTGATAAGGTACAATTTGGAATATAGATTAGAAGCAGAAGGTAATAAGACCAAATCTAATGATATGGTACAATTTGGATTATCAACATATATAGTCACGACCGTCTTTCCTCAATTCCTCAATTCCTCATCGCTGTCACGGATGCGCGCGCATCATCATTAGTATAATATAAAAAGCCAACAATGAAGAATGAATGTAAGATAAAAAGCCAACAATGAAGAGTAAATATGATATAAAAAGCCAACAATGAAGATTGAATGTAAGATAAAAAGCCAACAATGAAGAGTGAATGTAATATAAAAAGCCAACAATGA